TTTACTTGTATGATGAAACATCGTTCCGTTATTTGTCGGATATCGGCTAGTTATTGTTTTTATTGTCCGGATAATCGTTTTAACGTTTTTAAGCGTTTTTGTGAAGACTTCGAATATGAGTTTAAGTTTTAAAAATTATTTATTTATTTAAGGTTTACCGACAGGATTACAGACAGTAAGACATAAAATAATATTGACCTGTATAGAGCAATTGATAACTGCAACTCTAATTAGAGGCAATCGCAGCATGCATTACATTAATATATTAATATATTATTATCTTTTAAAGCAATGATTATACCATATGTTTAGGCCCAACGGAATTTGAGACGCTTTTTTGCATTTCGCTAATAATTCAATGGAATTCCTCTGTTTGTGGGCGTGAACCCGCCAAAGCGAAATTAGCTCGTAATGTTACGTATATTAAATTATTCATAAGTCTTTAAGACCTAAATGATAAGACGCCCGGTGTGCTCATATCGAGTGATGTAGCTATTACAATTTTCAAATCACGTAGGAAGGCCCATGTTTTTTTTAAATATAATAAACATTTAACACATGTTCACGAGTGTGTTCCACGATGAAAGAATAGCATCGTGTAATCATGACGAAAACGCAAAGAGACCTCAAGGGTCAAGGTGCGCTGCTATAATCGCCTTTCATTTAGTGTACCGTGAGCTAATATGAAGTTAAGTTAATATGGTGAAGGAATAACATCGTGTAATAAAAATCAAACTCGCAAAATTATAATTTACGTAATTACTGGTGGTAGGACCTCTTGAGAGTCCACGCGGGTAGGTACCACCATCCTGCCTATTTCTGCCGTGAAGCAGTAATGCGTTTCCTTAAATGCGCCACCTACCTTGAGATATAAGTTCTAAGGTCTCAGTATTGTTACAACGGCTGCCCCAGCCTTCAAACCGAAACGCATTACTGCTTCATGGCAGAAATAGGCGGGGCGGTGGTCAGATATAAATTTGAGATACAATACCCACGCTCGTATATTTTAACGCTGTTTTTTTTTTTCAAAAGTAAAGAAAACTTTTGAAAAAAAAAAAACAAACACAAATACAACACAGTACAAAAATAATTAAAAATAGGCCACAAGAAAATCTACAATTACATAGTTACTGTGAAACTGGCGAGTCATTTATTACAGAATTCTGTTTTAGAAGTTGACAAAAACTGGTCATTGTTGGAGTGTTTCGGATCGATATATACGATATTGTGATTCGCGTAGGGTTGGGTCGTTTATTTTTAATGCCGCTTATCGATGAACCACAGACAATATTGTTCCCATTTACATGTATTACACAGAGTTGTTGAGGTGCCAGAAGATATTGGGAAGGAGAATGTAATTGTTGAATGGATATTGATTCTTTTTTTTTAATGCTTAGATGGTCGGATGAGCTCACAGCCCACCTAGTGTTAAGTGGTTACTGGAGCCCATCGACATCTATAAATGCGCCACCCACCTTGAGATAACAATTCTAAGATCTCAGTATAGCTACAACGGCCGCCCCGCATTCAAACCGAAACGCATTACTGCGTCACGGCAGAAATAGGCAGGGTGGTGGTACCTACCCGCGCGGATTCACAAGAGGTCCTACTACCAGTAAGAAGGATTCTGCGGAAGACATAACGGAATTTAACAGTAGAAAGTAGACATTATTATCAATCTTGCTGTCAGACATACATGTGTGAGGTTGGAAACTCAAATTGTTTTGTTCGCTTTTTGCAAGGCGTAAAAAAAATAATTAAAGAAAGCTTTAAATTCACTTATCGTGAAATACTAAATTAGAGAAAATAGATATCAAGCTACCGGAAGTCCTTTCTGCGCAGAAAAGAATAAAATGTCATATTCTTTGGGAAATTTGATCGTGGTTAACGATACAAAGAAGGATATGTAAAATCACTACATAGCATAAAACAAAGTCGCTTTCATTGTCCCTATATATGTCCCTATGTATGCTTAAATCTTTAAAACTACGCAACGGATCTTAATGCGGTTTTTTTAATAGATAGAGTGATTGAAGAGGAAGGTTTATATGTACATCAATTAAATAGTGGAGAAATCAATAATAAATTACAGTTTCCGAAGCGAAGCGAAGGCGGGTCGCTAGTAATATATAAAGCGATGTAAAAATTTTAATCAGGATCAATTGACTCGTGTATTTCAGAGGCCATTCGAGTCCAATACCACTATAAACCAATCACGTATTGACTTTACAACTATATGTTCAGAACAAGAAACTTTGTTGTTTGATGTTCAAGCAAAGGGAAGTTGGCTTTGTGGTGGCTGCTTAAAGTACCTCACATCTTCTTGTGAGCGACTAAGGTATTAACTGGAGAATACAGCAGCTTTCTCTGACCACAGTCTTCTTTTATTTATTTTTTATTGCTTAGGTCGGTGGACGAGCTCACAGCCCACCTGATGCTAAGTGGTTACTGGAGCCCATAGACATCTACAACGTAAATGCGCCACCCATCTTGAGATATAAGTTCTAAGGTCTCAGTATAGTTACAACGGCTGCCCCACCCTTCAAGCCGAAACGCATTACTGCTTCACGGCAGAAATAGGCGGGGTGGTGGTACCTACCTGTGCGGACTCACAAGAGGTCCTAACACCAGTTCTACCATCAGTCTTGGGATTGTCAAGTTTCATTTAGTGGTGGTGCGGCGTATTGTAAGCCCGCACGGGGAGATACCGTTATCCTGTCGATTTTCGCCACAAATCAATCAGGCATTCGGGATTCCAGAGTTGTACAACCACTATAAATAACAATTGAGATTTCGATGATGATGTCTCAAACTGGATGGTGATATTCTCGTTGTGTTAACTAGCTCCGGTAACTACTAAATATTGGACTGCTCGTAAATTTATTGTCTAAGCATTAATAGCACTAATTAAAAGTGTCCACTAAACAATCTCTAGACCACAAGTTGTATAAGTTAATTAATGTATCTTTAGCAAATATGCTTTAAATATTCCACGGCCCCAAGCTAAAGTGTGTTGTGTTACGCATGCTGACAACAGACACTTTGGATACAATTAGCATATTATTTAAGCCATGAATGCAAAAGTTCTATAACAAATATAAATCTGAACTTGGAAACGAGAGTGGTGTTTGAAGACGAAGTATATACAGAGGAATGTCAACAAAGACCCTAGGGATTGTAGTCTTAGATAGCTATTTTTCCAGACCATAGAAGAGTAAGAAATTATAATATAAGAATAATAATTACAAACCACAATGTGCTAGTTATTACTTTATACCCAGCACTGGCACAACATTAATATCGCACACCTTCCAAATGTCTTTCTACACCAAAAGTTAGTAGCTCAAAACGTTTACAAATTACACTAATATAGTAGCAAATATTAGCTCCATACGTACTAGGGTAAATTCACACAGATCGATAGTCATAATATCGATAACCGGGAATCGATCAGCCCTAACGACGTTTACAAAGGTCCGCGATATTTCACCGGGTCCAGCCTCGGGCGTCTCCTAATACTGTACATGCTATGACCCAAATCTATTGTTCATTTGATCAAGTTTATTAAATAAAGATCTCTGTGGTAACATGTGTTCGAGATACTGAAATAATGTTGCGTTTTCTATATCGGTTTTTTAGTTAGAGAATTTCGGAGCACTTGAACGAATTCTGACTTGATTTTAAGATCGTATTTTCCAGTTAACCAGGTGGTGCACAAATCTTTATTCGTGTAGTCTTTCATTCCATGCGAAAATGTATTTTAGCCACCGTAGCATCGTTAGCAACTTTAAATGCACGAGATTTTCCCGCTGGATCTTCTCAATGGGTCGCGATTCCGATTCGATAATAAATTCATCGAAACACTGCTCTTGCTAGGGCTTGTATTAGCAATTCTCTCAGGTTGAGCCCGTGAGATCACCTACCAGTCCGCGTGTAATTGGAACAACCCCTTAGGCTACCAACGAAATGTTTTGTTAAGTGCTCGAAAACTAGTTGGAAATTAACGTGAACTGCCGTCTTGGTTTACGAAAGTTGATGCAATTCAGATAGCAGTCACACGACACGAATAGCAATGCCTTTCTGTCTATTTCTCCCTATTTCTGTCATCTAATAATCCGGTTTCAAGAGTGGGTTATACATTCGGTCGATTTGGTTAAGGCCAAAGATTGCAAACAATAGAAATTTCTTTGCAATGCATTCAAGACTGAATGCTTCTCCGTTAGTGTTTTGCCATCTATAACCTTTGGCGAAAGCTCGATACTAAGTTAACAAGTATGTCTACGCTTAGAAAAAATTAACTATGTCTGTTATTACATATATCGTGTTACTATCAGGCTCTGCTTCATAAATTACGAAAAAAATTAAGTTTTAGCCTAAACAAAGTTATTATGATTCGGATCTATTTATTGTCCTCAATACGCCATACCTATAGCGACTAATTAGCTTCTCATGGACGCCAGTAATACCAATCAGACAGCTAAATATCTGCCCTACGCTGCTACCAAGTCTCTTTAGAACAAATACGTGATAAAGCGGTATCAAACAGTGATACGATCAAACAGTGGAGAAAATAATTTGTCTCAATGCCCGAAGATTCGTAGCGAAACCGAATCATAATGCACTTAGATAGAGCGTCACAAATCTCAATGGTGTGATGGTAGAGAATGGTAGGACATCAACAATGCCTTACCAGAGTACCGCCTACGGAACATACGGTATGAAGCACAGAGGGAAACAAGGACTTGTTTTTTCCGCTACCTATTCGCTGGTAGCTTTAGGGGCTATTTCGGCTTCGCGCGGACGGGTATTTGAACTCACGGGCTCAACCTGAGACAATTTGCTAATACTAACCCTGGCAAGAGCATTGCTTCGCAGAATCTACCAGCAGATTGCAACAAGGCCATGAAGTAGAGATTGCTCTTGTACTGCCAGATTCGAATTATTGACCGTAGGAAGGGGGGTTCTTATGTTGAGACTCACTATTGCTTCTTTGTTAACAGGTCCAGCGTCCGCATCGTCCGTACTCATCTCGTTTTGCTGCGTCACCATCACTACAAGTAGCTTATGGTACGTATTAGGTGCGAAGAAAGTAAATCTCTTAAGGAAAAATTCTCTGTCTCTTTCTTCTTCTCTCACCCGATGGTGAGTAGTTACCGTCGCTCACGGGCGTCAGCGATGCCAGGGGAGAGCCAAGCCGCTGCCTCCCGTATATGATGATTTTAATCATGATTTTAATATTATATCATTATTATATTGTAGTAACGGTACCCGCGGCTTCGCCCGTTATCAAATGTATTTTTGTAAACATAAAAGCCATAAAACGGTTCAGAAACTACGTTAGATAATTTTATGTGAACATACATACAGAGATACAGTCTTTTTTATATATATATAGATGTTGTTTTTAAGTAGTGTCACTAATTGTTCTAATATAATTAATCGATCTATTGTACCGAATATGGTAGATACTACTAACCTACCTATATCTGCCGTAAAGCAGTCAACAGTATTTTGGTTTCGAAAGTTTGACAATCGCAAAATAATACAATCTTATTGAGGCTTTTATCTCGTGTCCTAAATTGAAATATCGTCGCTGTCAAACCAAAATCTGCTATGTGCAAAAACTCTATTTTGAATTAACGAGTAAAAACATTTTCGTATTAAATTTTATATGAAAGTATATTTTTAAGAACTATATCAAATGAAAGCTATAGATAAATATTAAAGCTATAGACATATAACAGTTATTTATACGGTAGATAGTGCTGTGAACTATACGAAAAGATCAAAAAGTAAAAACTCAAAAAGTGCACATAGAAGATTTTGATTTGACAACGACGATATGATGCGTCTGTGTTTAAAGAACCGTTTAGCAACAGATCAGCCGTGAACTCCTACTTACCACCTACCTCAGCAAAGAAAATCCAGAGATGGCAATGCGTAATAACAGCCGAAAAAAGCACATTCAGTTCTTAAAAAAATAAGTCTTGGTTCAGAAAACAAAACACGATGGAAATTAGCCTCCGACTACATGTCTTCCGATCAGTTATTTAATCTTGGCATTCGTCTTACGACGACGATGATGCAATCAAATCCGCAAATTATAATTTGCGTAATTACTGGTGGTAGGCAGATGAGCATACGGCCCACACGATAGTGAGTGGTCACCGTCGCCTGTGGACTTCAGCAATGCCAGGGGCAAAGCCAAGCCGCTGTCTGCTTACTGATGGTAGGACCTCTTGTGAGTCCGCACGGGTAGGTACCACCTCCCTGCCTATTTCAGCCGTGAAGCAGTAATGCGTTTCGATTTGAAGGGTGGGGCAGCCGTTGTAACTATACTGAGACCTTAGAACTTATCTCAAGGTGCGTGGCGCATTTACGTTGTAGATGTCTATGGGCTCCAGTAACCACTTAACACCAGGTGGGCTGTGAGCTAGTCCACACGTGTAAGCAATAAAAAAAAAAGATGTATATGGACTCTAGCAAACAAAGTATTCCCTAAAAGCTATTCAGGAAACCTGTGAAAGTAATTTTAAGTCCTAATAAAGTTTTAATCTGACGTTATTTATTGGAGTTTTGTATTATTCATTCCTCGCGTGATTTTTTACTATTCGTTTGCGTCACAAAAACGTATGATAATTGTTTTCTGCGCCCTAAAATTTAAAGAATGTTTGTTTTTATTTCAGGCACGTTCTGCGATGATGTCTGGCTTCGGACCGAGCCCTTTGAGTGGCGCTCAAGAAAGCATTGTAAATAAATACGAAAAGAAAAATAGTGGAAGATTTTATGTATACGGTTCTGGAAGAATCCACTATCGGTTTATGTGGAACCAGTTTTTCGCGAACATTCGAATAAATTATAATCGGTTTGGTTCATAATGATGTAGTATAAAAATGGTCATCAGTTCACCGAACTAGTGGACGATTGATTTCATTGCAAATATGAGTCTCGTTTTATTGTTTATAAGGAAAGGCTTTAGACGGAATTATTTTTCGTAATCCTAAAATCGATTCACAACAACGATCTAACCAAAAAAAATACATTAAAACATTAATCGAATATGTAAATATATAATAACAAAACAAAAATATTCTTACTAAATTATGTGATCTGTAGTGTATAGTAGGAAAAATCGATATGAATATAATATAGGGATGTCCCCAGCACTGGTCGATGTGGATTGAACAAAACAGACCGTCTGGAAGTTTATGGTTGTGGTTCATTGACATATGCTTAAGAAATATACAAATTAAGCTATCTTTATGAACTTATGACTAACATTTTGAGAACTGACATATAGAATTTACAATTAAATTGATGCATTTACATCTGAAAATGAAGCCGAGTAAAATTACCTAAAATAATCGAAATAATTAAAATCGATAATCTCGATTCTGTATTACGATATTTTATGGTTCACGTTATTGGATCCAACGTTTGTCACTGTCACACCGACCAATGTTGGCCAAATGTATAATAAAAAAAATACTAAAATAAAGTAGTGTAATCATTAGTGAAACTTGTGAATTACGTTAATTTCTGGAGTTTATTGGATGTTGAAAAAATCGAATATGTCTAAATTATTCGTTGTGTTTGCTTTCAAAGTACTATTTATAAGCCTATTTATAGTGTAGGAATAGAATTTTCTCTTACTCAGTTTGCCTTAAAAATACTTCAATCAAACTCTTATTAGTTATTAAATTAAAATATATTATTGTTTTTCCTTTCTTCTGCCACAGATCTGGACTCTCTGTAAATGACAATAAAAACTTGTGACGAAAATGATTGCAATCCGAATACTAACATAAACTGCTTATTCCTGCCGGGAAGCTATCATGTTTTCCGGTTTGGAATCAAGAAAAGACGTTCTACCAAAGCATTTAAGTAAATCTTGTGTATCAAAAGCAATATCTAAAAGCTTCCTACAATCACACGGACTGAATTTACCTAACCTATCCACGTTAAATCAATATGGTACAAAATCAAATTAGGAATTGTCCTACTATATTTTGTGCTTTGCCAACTGCAAACGCGTTATAAAGAGAAGGAAAAATGTCGATAATATCACTTGATGATTTCAAAGATTCAATGCTACTTTCTATGCCAATTTCTATTATTCAATGCTAATTAAGGAATAAATAAATAAAATAATTAGCGGTCATACTGTAAATTATCGAGTTTAATTAATATTTATATTTATGTAAAATTTTGTGTAACATAGATGTAATGAGTATGTTATGCCAAAAATATGTGTGCGTTAATATTGACAATTTTTTTTTAAACAACTTGATGTGACTCCATCTCTTAACCGTTGATATTGTTAGAAATTCAGCAGATTAGCTGCCACAAAATTATACTATATGATGTAATATAATATCGTGATAGCATTCTTGAATGAGCGTTTAACTCCAACAAATTCAATAGCCCTTAATTTCCTAATAATCATTCAATTAATCATCACATCCTCGAATCGTACCTACGTATGAAGTATTAATAACTTAATAGTGAATGTTAATTATCTCTGTAAATATAATAATATATTTGTAAGAAACGGCCTAGAAATATAACAAATTTACCAAAAAAACTGATTATTTTCCTTAGACTGTTATAAGAATACATATGAAATTGACCTGGACACATCTATATATAGAGATAAGCAAAAAGGCTTAACGTACAGAAAGTGCTTAATGAGGTATCCAGGATCATAAATTGCAAACTTTTGTGCTATTTTACAACGCGTTTTTAGATGTCGAATTATGTACTTCGAAAAAAAATTTTCGACTCGATCGTAAAGTGCAAAGATTAAACTTGAGTTTAAGCTGTATAAGTATTTCGTTCATATACTCGTTGTTCAGGCGCCTGAATATATATAGTCTGTGTAGTATGTGTTTTTTTTTACCGCGCAAACTGAGCACTGCGTGACACGTTAAAGATATACGCTTTGAATTTTTATCCCAATTTATATTATTTTAAGTCTGTAATTCCCGAACATGGTCCTTCGAGCCGGATTTTGAAGATTTAGTACCAGTAAGATAAATTATTAACCAGAAGGTAACGAGTGGATTATTATCTTCCCGAACACTCGTAGCATATGAATTCTTCCTCGTATACCATGTTGAGATTAAATGATATATGCTCATTGCGTTTCTGTTCTGTAGAATAATTATTAGCCTAACAAGCAAGTTTTGGATGAGAAGATTTGTATCCTTACGACGCTTAGGAATATGTGGTAGCTATACCAGCTATACTACTGCCAGCTGTCAAAAATCAATTTTTCTTGAAGAAAGATTGAGCTTGGATTAATAATAATTGGCAATAGGATTTTGTGGGAAGTTCGATCGTATATAATGTGGGAATTATGACGTAGGAAGCAATCAGATTTCAATTTATCTACTTAGATTAAAAACGATGGTAATCAATATATTCAAAGGCTGGTTTGAAATGGAAACGAATATCCCGGTTTTATAATTTGAGGTCACAAAACAAATAATAAATACTTTGTTTTTAAAAGCGAGTCAAAACAATACAATGATTGGAGTCTCCTTTTAAGCGTGCAAGCCTGTACTAGGAGAGGTTTTCTAAATAGAAATTCTGTTACAGGACACGAGTTAGTTTTATTAACAATCGGGAACATCAAAACAAATCGCTTATTATTATTTAAATTTGATATTGCAATTGAAACACAGTTTTACCGTGTGAAGCAATTGCTGAAAATTGTGACGTCATCTGCTGGCAATCTTTTAAGTCCCACATTATTGTATCTTAAGCTGATTCAACCAAAATGAACCATCTACTTACAATTAAAATATTGTGTATGTATAAACTAATTAAATAAATAAATAAAAATTACGAAAAAAATTATGTAGACAATATTAAAAATACGGTATGTAAGTCACATTGGCATAGTGGTCTAAAAGATTTAAGTGACTTTTGTGTTACATTAAGAAACTTTAAGATGTAGTAAGGACGTAAAATAGAATTTTTCGTTTTGTATTCAATAAATTTTTATACGAACGAATCCTTGTTATTTGTTTTTTTGCTCAAATGTATGTGTGTTGATTTTTATTATGTCGTATAAATAAATTATTATATAAAACTGATGTGTATTATTTCTTCCTCTTTGGCTGACTCTTTGGTTCGGTGGTGTAGCAGTGGCGCCCCTGACTGGTGAGCCGAGGGTCGTGGGTTCGATGGCCACATCGGCAAAAATTTGTGTGATAAACAAAATTATTTTTTTCTTTGCCTGGGTGTAATGTAGACTATAGAAAAAATAGTATTATCTATGGTGGCAGCATTTGACACTACATTTATTCCACATAGGAAACTTGTCTCTGGCTTTATAGATTAAAATAGACAATGTGGTTTTATAAAAAATAAATATTTCAGATTTTGAAAACATCTTAAATATTGAAGTTGTCAATGTTGTTTCTCTTTACAGCTTAGTTTAGACATGCCTATGTAGCTATAGTAATTTTAAGTATTGAAGTAAGCTGTGTTTGCAAGTCATTCATTTGACAAAATAAATTACTTTTTACAGAGCAGAGAACATTTTTTTTTTTTTTCTGCTTCCATAAACAATTTAATACATATATTCAAACGTTTTTAAGAATGTTTATCGGTCTCTGGTTGCGGTCTCAAAGTTTGCATTCAATTTGTGATATCTATAAATTCTGGTCACCATTTAAAAATACATTTGAATAAGATAGTTTAACTATCGATTTTAATACGCTTTTGTTAGCTTCATACATATATTAGTATCTATGTAACGGAATCTTTGACAGTGATTTTGATCTCCTTCAAAACGTCGGATTAACTCGAAATTTGGCACACTTATCACGTACCGATGACAATTCAATATTTTAAGTAGTTAGACCCGTTATTTATGGACGATATGCTAAAGTTAAGATACAAGTTCTTGTTAAGAAATCATTAGGAGAGCGCTTCTATTGTAATTGTTCTTTGTAATTTAGCAGTACTTCGCTTTGAAATTCTATCTAGTTATGTACCTACTAATAGGAATTTCAAGAATAAAGTCTGGAGCTCTAAAATGAAGGTGGCAGTTACTTTGATATTTCTTATGAAGATACATTTCTCAGTTTCTACAACACTATAATTGCAAATACAATTTTATTTTACAATACTTATTTATTAAAAGCAATTGTTTTGTGGTTTTCCTTCGTGTCAGTCATACATGTACTTGTAACCATTGATGTAGATCAAATCAAGATACTTTTATAGCATTTATTAAGCTATTGCATAGCTTTTATCGCGGGCTTTGAGCGCAGCGACCGAACCAAGAAATTTCGTAACGAAAATAAAACCCCCCACTCCGCCTACCAAGTGCCATGTAGCTCGCATTCAACACATTCACACGTTGCGCTTGTGTAGCGTTTGTGAATAAGCGCGCGGCGTGACGTCGCACTGCATGCGCATCATAAAATGTTTGCTCATCTCTCTCTCTTGCGGTCTATGTAATGAGTGTGAAGGGGACAGTTAATGTTTTGCTTTTGTTAATGTTTATAAATATAGCGTGGTCTTATTTTATTATTGTTTTAATATAAAATTATTATTGTCTAATTATAATTGCATAAGTTGATAAACAATGCTATGCAATAGCTATACCGCGGCAGTCCCCGAGTGCCACACGTGTTTTATTTTTATTGCTTAAGTGGATAGACGAACCCACGTGCCCATCTGGCACTAAGTGGTTACCGGAATCCATTGACATCAAGTTCAGTTCTATAG